GTAGTCATATACAATGAATTTTAAATCTGGGCAACCGCAGTAATTTCCTATTTTCATTTGCATTAAAATACTACTTTGTTTTCGTTCATATCAATTAAAAGCGTGCCTAATTAGTACAAAATACCTATAAATTCAGCACATATTTGCTGTTAATTGGTTCTATTAAATAACGCCTTTCACAGTTCAATTAAGACCAACACCACAAAATAAATACAAAATATAAAAAAATTAAAACTTTTAACGGTTTCACTATATTGCCTGAAACTGCAGATTTCTATTAATTCGTATGCATATATTTATATTTGTATAACAATTTAATTTATTTAATGGAAAGACACGATTCTTATCTATTGCAAACAAAAATATATTCAGACTGCATAATAACGTTTGAGCCTCATAAATCAAATTACTGATGTATTAAAAAACAATTTTTATTTGATTGTGCAGATGTGAGCTCTCACCTCGAAAAAGGAATGTGTGTTTTTATTTACATTTTGTTGAGCCTATTATTTTATCTTTTTATACTCTGGACTCATTGAAAATGGGAAATCATGTGGAGGTGTTGATAGAGTTAATAGCGCATTGTGTAGGAGATGTTGGTTCGACTCTTGGTGTCCTAATGTCGGGTTTTATTTATATATTTTCTTAATACTCGATACAAGCTATGGAAAATGTTTAAAAACGTAGATGAGTTAAGGGTATCAAATAGTCGGGCACCTCAGACCGGAGTTTTCTTACTTGTTTATGGTTAGGCAATTATGTGTGTCTGCGTGTATTTTTCTGTGCTTACAAATTCAGTAAAAGTTGGCTTGAACGTGGTTCATCGTAGGATACTCTCAAGTATGGTATTCCCACATGCATACAAATTATATTTCAAATATATATTAAGATACTTCACATACAAAACAAATGTGATAAATTAAATGTTACCAATAATATTGAATGCTCTAAGCGAAACACTCTTATGAGTTCAATAACTTAACAGTTTTCTTCACTTAAAAACCCTATCGTACTTCCCTTGTAGTACTTCAAGTCATTGGAATTAGCATACTTTTTTACATGTCAGATTAATTTTACATTTTTAATGCCGTTGATGCCATTTCCTCGCCTAGAGCTGTGTACATCATCGTATCTTCTGTACTATTCTTACTGATGTCAAGTAGTCATGCTTAAACAGGGACCCGAAAACGGATGCGGCTGTAGTTGTAAAGTATTTAGTCAATATTGATCTATAAATAATATATATATTCTTTGAACACAGTAATTTGTAGCGAAATACGCTGGAAATTCTTGAAGTTCTTTGTTAAATATAAAAAAGGATATTTATTTTTAACTTAATTTTACAAAGTGTATTTAATTTTCTGTTTGAGGTATTTCTTAGTGCTCAGCAGAAAATAAAAATGAAAATTGTATTAATAAGAAATGAGCAAATATTTATTTTGGGCTTGCGAATTATTTCAATTTGTGCATTATAAATAATGAATCCCCTAAAATATTCGAATAAACACTAAATATTGTACAATCTTTACGGCCGCCAACAGAAAATTGGCTTAAAAGCTCAGGTCATAAAACTCTTGACAGCATCGGCAACAACAACAATAACAACAGTGTGTCAATAAAAGTGTCAATCAAATCAACGGACAACCAACATCACACATTTTGTTCACACACACACACACATACACATTTTGTGTTAGTTTGAAATATGCGCCTGCTGTTGCATACTTGTCTGAGCGACCGCCATTTTGGGTCTACAGACAAAAAAGTAAGAGAATAGTTACAAAAATTCTTATAGAACATTAAATAGCCTACAAATTGATTAAAAATTATTTATGATTTTACTAGTTTTTCATTTTATATTTTAATATTTATTTTAATCGTGTTTTGCTTCAGTTTTTATATTTTTATTGTATGTTACATTTATATTTTTATTGAAATTTAGACATTCTTTTACTATGCCACATTCAAATAGAATTTAAATAAATTAATTTTTTAGATTTTTATAAATATAATAATATTATATAAATATATGCGTTTGCTACCTCCCATTACATATAACTTAGGAAAGGGTATTTTATTAAATATAACTAGTCACACATGTGTCGCTGACAGAGTCCTTTTTGTGTTGTGTTAGCTTGTTTTATATATAATTCTTTATTTTTTCAACGTTCAGTTTTTGGAATCGATTTCAGGGTCATCGCCTGGACATCGTCATGGGATCTTTATGTGACTTTTTTACGCTCAGTGGGCAGCGGCCGCGCATATTCGACGCTTGTCATTGGCAAAGCAAGAACAGCAACATTAGTCAAATGGAGCTGAACAAATTCATCTGGCATCTGTTAAGCATTAAACAGTTAACGTCGGATCACTGTTGGCCAGGCCAGGCATGCAAATATGTAAAATGTGAAATACTTTCATTTATCAATATTCGACTTAGTCAGAAAAGACAGAATCACAGACTATGCAAATAAATCAGTTGTCGGTTGCCAGGATTATTAATGATATATTGCGCAGAGCGTTCAACTGAGTTAGTCTGGCTTCAATGTCAATTCTTGTGTGCAAACAGGTGTTAACCGTACAAGATACGCCCATAATACAAACGTGACGTTCTGCTGTGCAAATTAAGCAGCCATTCGAAAATCCAATATCCAATATTGCACACATACTATCTAAAATTCACAAAAATTTATTGACGAACGTGCTTCGATTGCCAAGCGCACATAAGAATCAGTTGAATGCGACACCACAGAGAGTCTCCTCGCACCATACTTGACCTTCTATCAACCATGTGAACTGTCAAAGTTTGCTCTTTGCTAAATTGAATTATGCAGTGATATTTCTTTAAAGACACATGATACAAATTTAAGCTGAAACGTGCAGCTGTGTCCACAGAGACACTGATTTGTTCAGGGACTATTGCAGCTGTAACATTTACCAAGCACTCTCTGCTGTTCGTTTGGCCACTCAAGAGCACATGGAACAGCACAACGGAAGCCAGATGAAGTTGTAACTAAATCTAGTTGGAAATACAAACAAACTGCAGGCAAACTTGACAACTGGGCTTAAATGCAGGTTGTTAGTCAACTGGCATCAGCAGTTACATGAAAGACTTTACTCTAAGTAGCCACTTTCTTTGAATTTAGCAGAATAATGCCAACTGGCTTATTGAAGATCAAATCACAGCACTGACTTTCATAAGTAAAAGGCTGATTTATTTTCTTTTAGCATGTGAGAAAAAGAGGTTAGAGAGCATTTCATTAATATATGTTCCGGATAAAATAGGGCTAAGCATAGCTTTCGTAGCTATTACTGAGCAATTAAAGATTAAGTGACAATCTTGAATATTTATGACAAATGCCAAGACAACCGTCGCACCAAGCTCGTCTCTCGCCTCTTCGGTCAATCTATACAAAACATCAAAGTCAGTTAGCAGCTTGCATAAAGTTTGCGAAAGCGATTATGAATGCCTCGGAATATCGAAGCATTTACCATAAATAACAAAAAGCTAATACTGGGTGCCCAGCGATAGTCACCCCAAGTGCTGGAAATCAAATACAGACAATCCCCACCCTAAGCCCTGCAGTTACTAATGCCAGACACCAGCTTTAATTGCGCATTAATGTTTATTGCGGAGCGGAAGTGGCGCCATTTTCCCGCTCCCCAACTTCCCCCCATTTGTTTAGCTATGCCAACAAATCCGCTCGCTGTCTGTGTGTCTGGCTGTCTATGTGGAGCGCCGCTTCAGATACTCTATGCCAAGGGAATGGTAAATATGTCACATTCTTAAGCTCCACAATAAACAATGGGGGAGTTCTGAGTATGGTCACCCTAAACTTACAGAACTGCCCCCTCTTTTAGCTACGTATTACAGTTAATTTTGTAGAGAAAAAGATTTAAAGCCAACCCGGTTAAACACTGGTTGATAAACGATAACAGCTGAAATTCCAAAATTCCTGCTAAAGCAATTACTTGAAATTATTTAATAATACATTTTGAAGGTGAATTCAGCACAATTTTTCGCAGGAAACATATATTAAAAGCCACTGAAAAAAACCTGTTTACTTAATTTGTTTCATTTTTATCTTTCATAAATTCTATTTAAAAAAATGTTGCATAGTTTTGAGGGCTTTACTACCAACAAGGCAACAATTTAGTAAAAATAACGAATATGACAAAATGAAAATTTTTCTGTGAGTCTGTATTAAATTTTATCTAAAATGTATACATTTTGCACAAAAAATACTCGAGATATTAATTTCTATTATATTGTAAGAATATATAAAGGGATAAAACTCTTTTTTTTTAATATTAATAAATAATTAAAAGGCTTTATTTATAATTGTGATATGACATAATATAATAAGGGTTTGTTTATTTTTTAATTATTTGCTTTAAATATTTGTCGACTATTATTTTGCAGTTTTTATTATTTATTATTTATTGACATACAGCTCTCATCTCTTTCATCTCTCATCGATAACGGATAAATTTCTGCACAGTTTCGATAGAGTATTAAAGAAGCGTTAAAAACTTAAGACATTTTTTTTGGGATTTTGTCCATTTTGTTTCATTAAATTTGTTGGTTCGTGCAGTCGGTCTCTGAATTTGTTTTGTATTTCCTGGTCTGCTAAGCTCAAATACTTCCGCCTGCTTGCGCGCCATTGTGGCACAGAATTTATGGTGTAGTTCGCTGGCAGTTTCCGCCGCATTTTCCACATGCTTGCCGCAGGATAGGACACTGCTTTAAGTTTAACGCCATTTTGTTGGATAGATTAATTGGGTTATGCGGCGACAACCTTTTGACCTTTCAATTGCCGCCCTTAGGCAGTAATGCGTGCCATCAGCTCAGCCCACTGGCTATTGATGAGGATTAGCGCTCGTCTGCAGTCAAGTGTGTTGCCCGTCGATAGGGTGTTAATTTGTTTGGACAGCGGTTGGCAAACTGTCCGCCACATTTGCCAGAGATAGGAGGCGTTTTGTTTTCCAGGTTATCGGCCAGCCAAGAGGCCCAAAATGTTGACGTGTGACGTGTCTGTCAGATTTGTTTTCAAAAGTGAAAAAAAAATTATAAGTGGACTTTTTAGGAACATATAATGGAGGCCGAATCGAATACAGTGGTATGTTCAAACATCAAACTAAATTACGACTTATCTTAACCTGTGTTTCAAGGAGAAGAGTGTTCTGTCGCGCATTAATCTGTTTAACCAGCACGTGGAGGAGCATAAAAAGTGGCAGCGCATTAATCCCTTCTCACATTACAATGTGCGCGATATGCCCAAGCAAAGAATTCATAAAGACCAGTACGGCACTGCACCCGCTGGCAGCCTCTCTGAAAAGCGGGCGATTCAGGCACAGATCCTCTCCCTTCAGGAGATTCTCCAGCTCTGCGGTCTGATCAATGAAAATGGTGAACGCCAGTCGGCGGATGAAACAGCAGAGGTTATCCTTAGATTTGGCGAACTCTTTGAGGTGTGTACCGGGCGACATTAACGTAAATATTGCTCCATCTGCTCACACACCCACCTGGCTTTTAGATGTACAACCACATTTCTGACAAGCTGCTTGGTACGCTGTTGTGTGCGCGCAAGCACAAATTCATTGATTTCGAGGGCGAGACACTATTTCAGGGTCGTGACGATAAGCAAAGCATTCGTCTTTTGCACCCTTTCGAGGAGCTAAAGGAGAGCATTTTGAGTAAAATTGAGAGCCTGCGCTGCATTCTCGCTGAGCCCGTTAAGCAACCGTAGCTATGTAACATGACGCCTCGCTTTTGTAGGTGGCACATGGCACGTGGAACTTGGCTGTCATACAATCGCTGACCCGTGTCATCCGTGGCACACACCACAGAGGCACGTGCGCCACTCTCTAAGCCTTTAAAAGTTAATTCAATTAACGTTTCGGCTGCCTGAAGCCCACTCAGCCCCAAGGATCCCAAGGCAAGGCCAAGCAAGCTTGATTGTTCAGCTCGCATACCCAAACGGCGCCCTGTTGTGATCTGCGAAATACACCTGCCGCTCAAAGTGTCACCTCGGATACACAGCTAATGTATCAAGAAAACAATTTAGGCAACATTTATATGCAAATAAATATCTTTGAAAAGCCCTCGGCTATTGTACCTTACTACAGCCGGAAATGAGTTCAAAGCGACTTCATGTGGCATGTGGCTAGGTTACCGAAATATTGTTATATGTACCTTGCGTACATCAATACATTTACATATCCATTCGTATTTGAGCGTGTCATTTCGCTTGCTGTACTCCCTTCAAGCACAGTGGGCAGAGCTATTGGAATTTATTGGTATTCAATTACGACTCGTTAGCCACACATGTCTGATCAATGCGGATTAATGGTCTTCTATATGCACATATCTTAGGTGCCAGGCATTGCTTTAACTTTGTATTCAATACGTCGCAGTAATAAATACTTGAAAATTCGTAAGTAACACGCTTAACTTAATTATCAGCTTGTGCTGATTTTCATTCTAGTTGGTACTTCTGAAATGCAGAAGACATTTTACAATATTTTTGATTATTGTGACTAGTTATAGAGGTCAATTAGCCTAACTTTTTTCAAGCGATTTTGCTAAATTCGCCTCTGAAAGCATTTAATTATCTCATCAAGTTTTTCGTGGCTTTCATGTGCATTAAAGATCTTAGAATATCAACAAACCATTCGGTTTTCTTAAAAAGTACTTTATCTAAAAGATGTATAATTCCCCAGAGTTGTATTAAGAGACATTTCAGCAATTTAAAAGCGATTTAAGAGAAGGTGTAGTACTTTCAGTTACTTATATACTTTATTATATACATATAGTTAATAATATTATTCGGAAAATATATTTGAATCCACTTGCACTTCACCTTTTATTGTTGTTAGTTAGCACATCTAGTTTTCCAGTACCAATAGCATTATTTATATTAAAGTTAATGTGTTCATCAACTTTTAAGTGCCTCAAGCGGTATTAGTATTTATTTGTGGTGTATAGTCAAAGCGAAACTCAAGTGCACCACGGTATTTGCTTTTTCTTTTGATATATTTTTAATGTGTAATTAGGGTTTATTATTTCTTGGGGAGTCACTGTTCGGTATCTTGGCACTTGCCACCCACAGTCACCGACTTGGCCTCTGCTGGGCGTGAGTGCGCGACTAATGTACCGTTGATTTGATTTAACGACAAATTGCTTCTGGTGGAATATGGCTGTGAAGTAGAACCCACTGGCATATTGTCTCTTGATTCGTGTGGCCCACGCGATTGCTTTCACATTTTTGGAGCAACATTTAACTCAGTGGGTGTTGGGTGCTCCCACGTCGGCATTAGGCACGCCTAATTCAACATGGAACATGCGTAATTTATGTGTATGGTGGAATCCTGTGCACTTTTCAAAATTTTCTTGTCACCATGTCAGGTTTTACTTTTTGTCTGACAAGCAGCACGACACACGCATCTCATTCTTGATTTCGTTCATTTATTTGTAAAGGAACAGCGCCCAAAATATCTAAAATAAGCATGTTTGTTCTATGCAAATGCCAGGATACGGATCGTTGCGCACAACTTCCGTGCCCCATTTATCCGGCAGCCAACTATAGCGGAAGGCCGAAGCCAACGCCAAGGCTCAAGCAAAGCGCATAAAATGGCCCACCGCATTATCTGTGTGTGTATGTATGTGTGTGTGGTGGGACATCGCTGGCGCTGATTGCTCAACTCGAAAATTGTCAACGTCCCTTTTTTTGGGGATGAGACGTGCGGGCTTGCAATGATCCCTTGGCGAGGCGTTTAAACCTGAACTCTGAACTAGTCCACTTGTGTTGCTTACCTTGGGCGAGGGTAAGCAACACAAGTGGACAGCATATGTCAATTGAGTTGCTAGGTGTAGATGTGTGTGTGGGTGTATGTCTGTCTTTAAGTGTGTTGTCGTCAACATTCGACCTGTGTCTGGCCTTATTTAGATTTCTGCACATTTCAGCTACTAAATTTATTCGTAAGTATTGAGTTTTCTTATTGGCAATGCTTATTGACTTTTGGTTTCTGTTTGTCCGCACAAAATAACTTAAAATATTGTTTGGCTTGTTTGTACTGAAATAAATAAAAAATGCATAGATAACCAAATCAATTTCGAAGGCAAGCCTCAAAAATATATCAAACAGACTCACATAGTTTCAATATTGGAGTAAGAATACATGAAATTATTTACCTAAACTTTACTTTTCCATTACTTTTCGTATCTAAAATCGTAGATAATAAGCTCATGTCATATTTTGAGTGCTTACCTTTTAAAGGCCTTAAAGCTTTTAATGTATGTCTTTAATATAACTTTACTTTCTGTGCGGCTTCAACAACTTAAGTCCAGTCAGAAGTCGTCTTCGGTCTTGGCTGTTGGCTTAAATTTCCGTCAAAACTGGTAGCTAATTTATGAGCACTTTGTGGTGTTGTTAGTTAAAGGACGTAAGATGAGCACGCAGTGCACATCGCGAGCTTCCGCTTCCCGTTTCCCGTTTCTCGTATCCGGCAATATTTTTCGAGCTGCTGTCAGTGGGCGATATTGTTCTTTTGTGTGTGTCTCAAAGGATTTGGCAACAACAAGGTGGTAAGCTGCTTTTGATTAGCCCGCAAAGGTCAAGTCTGCAGCCAAGGCGACACATTAACAATGTCATAAACAAAGACTCAATGAAACCTTTGCCCTGCACAATCATAAAATAGTCATTTAACAATTGATAAGCCATGCCACGTAGCTGTCACAGACAATAGGCTGGCAGATGACGAAGATTCCACAAGAATGCTCTATATCGGGTCCCATTTTAGGGTCAAGTCGCCGTCGCAGTTGTCACAATACGCCAGCCATTAAGAATTTCAGCAGAAGCAATAGGCAAACAAATAACATTTATGGAAATTCTCCATGTGATAAAAACGATGCAAAAAACTAAATGTGGGAAAATAATGCGACAAGCTGAAAAACTTTGCAGACGACGCCAACCACGCAGTCTCAAATGACAATTTTCGAAAACATCTCTCAGTTTGATAGCAAATTCTATTTTTTATATCATGCCCTATGGAATGTTGTATTCTGCTCAAGCATTCGCATTTCTGTTGATGTGCCAAGTTTCTACAAGTACAACTGGATGTAGATGTACTAGGCTCAGGATAGAAGCAACTGGCCAAGCAGAAAGGTCACTGCGTCTAACCCTGAACCAAGCCATCAGTAAGTGACAGTGATAAAGCACTTGGCAACGAAGCAACAAAGTGCACACAAGCGAAGCTGAGCGGAAACAACAATAACAAAATCCTTTCAATAGAAGGATTGACTCAGTGTATTTCTCTTTAACATAAACAAAAATTATATTATTGTATATTAGAGTACGAGAAAACAATCTCAGAGCTGTGTTGTGTTTCGACTTTAATAAATTTAAATCGCGTCAAATTTTTGTCCTCCTCCTCCTTTTCGTTATGATACACTGCTAAATAAATTGTATAATTTATGATTTGTGGAATGGCCTTGTTTCTATGGCGACACATAATTTGCGATACTTTATTTTCCTTGATGCCAGAAACAACCATTCAGAAGAAATTCAATACAATTATTTCCCAGCACAGACAATTTAAAGTCAAATAACTATTTAAAGCTATTTTCTTTACACATTTCTTAGAACTCATATCAACAATTTAACTCTTGCCACTGCTCATTTGCTCATCACAATTAGTTTTGCATCTGAACTAATATTTTTAGACTTGTAGACAGTCAAGTGTATTATGTATTTTGAGTAATGTAATTATTTTATTTGTATATAGAACATAGGAAAATAAATTAAATAATCAATAAATTTTAGTTATTTCTGTTCAATTTAAAACGAACCTATTTTTTAAATAAAATCTTGTCATCAAATCAGGCATAAAGTTTTCTGTAGCTATTATAATTTTGATATTTATATTCCAGCTCGGTTAGCTAGTTTCAGGTCATCCATGTATATATAGTCAATATATTAAAGATTCTGCAGTTTTTCGATACTCGATCACACTTCTTAGTTCACTTTTCTCATTATCTATGGATTATATATCGATACTATATAAATCATCGTATAGTCAAATAACTTTGCAACTGCCGCTAAGCTTTCGTTTTTCCCGTATCCCAAGCTCTGACTATGTAAAAGACTTATTTATACTTCATCTTAACTAAGTAATAGCACAATAAACACATTATCCTTCTTTTCTTCCATATTTACTATTATGACACTTTTCTGAGAGATAACTCACATATTCATTGTATTGCGATTTCTTATGCCAAAGCAGCTCCATCCCTGCTTCTTAGCCAAATTCACATTTGACTATAGCACGCCTTGAAACATAAGCAGCATGTTACATATTTCTTTGCAATTTTTTATTTCGCAACTGTCTGGAATGCAAGACAATAAGAAGAAAAAGATATAAAAATTAATATTTGATTTACTGCATGCAGCTGCGCGGAGCTGACTTTGAGGATGCAACTCTCGGCATCTGCATTTCGTCGTAAGTCAATTTTCATGTTCACTTTTTAGACAAGGACCCACAGTTGACATCTTACAGCTGCCAACGGGATCAGCTGCAGCCAGTACGAAGAAAGCACTGACAGCTTGGTGGCCACGTGTGCCCGAGGGACAGATATATCAGGGTATCGAACTGCGCCCCGGACCCGTTCGTAAATCTTGCCGGCAGCCAAAGCCAAAGCCAAAGCCACTGAATGTGTATTAAGTTTTCGGTCTGCGGTCAGCTTGCCAATAAATTCAATGACTATGGGTGGCAACTGCGTGTCCTTTTACCGTCGCCTCGACATGCTTCTGTTGTCCTGTTAATTGCGTGAAATAACAGTTTTCACTGCAGGTTTCTTTGTCCCATGGCCCGTGTGCCAAATCAAGTGAAAAGCTCGCAATGATTCAATTTAAGTTTTCGCACTGTTCTAAAGTTTCAGTTTCAACTTGCTACAGTTAGGAAAAGTTCGAATCGTTCGCCATAAAAAATTAAAACTTTAATTAAATTAGTTACAAACATTTGACAATGATTCTGCAACAGCATACACTATGGATACAATACACAATATTCACACGTCATTCAACTGATTGTCATTCAGTTTTTTATAGCACGGACATGCTCGAAAAGCCTCACAATGGAAAAACAAAACAAACCCGAAAAGAATACAATAAAAACAGAGCTGGCAAACCATAAAAAAGGATACAGCTGAAACAACTCGACAAGCGGCCAATCAGGCGCCAATCGACCCGCCCAGACACTCAGGAAACGAGTACGAGTCGAATAAAATTATATTTTAAAAACATTTGCCCAACTTTTGTTAGACGCTTGAACATTTTAACAGAGAAATGTAGAACTTGGCACTAATTGCCGATGTGATAGATAGATAGCTAACTGAAAAACAGTTTCTAGCAGAACATTTTTAAAAATTCAAGGAGGAAGCAGCATATTTTATAATGCCTGATGCCATTAAAAAGTCGAGAATTTGTGTATTTGTGTGTAGGGTAGCTCTAACGAAAACTTTACACCTAATTTTACACGAGGTATTTGGTGCAAAGTTTCTTCTGCCTCAAGTGAATTCCTTATGGGGTTTTCCCTTTCCTTCCTTTGGCCATAATCTGGCGCTTAACGCGTAGCGTCTCAAAGTCTAAAAAAAAAAAAAAAACAAAACAAAATCAAAGGAAAGCTAAAGGAAAAAAGCAAAAGTCAAAAGTTAATAATAAAATGCGACAAAGCTTCAATTGAATTCAGGAATATGTTTGGCTTAGTTTTGCTGAGACAGGCAAATTGATGCTTTTTGTAGACTTTCAACAGCTGTAAGCAGCCATAAAAGGTGGCAAAGTCTTGGATTTGTACCGTGGCCAAAATGGATTAGGGATTTGGAGAGCACAGCAAAGTTTATGTTAAGAATCGGGTGAAAAGGTATGAGCAGTTTGTAAAGAAACTCGTTGCTTAACAGTTAATTATCATATTATTATATTTAATGAAAAGGAAAAGCTGAGTTTCTCAAATTTTCAAAGCCCACAAGTCTAAGAAGCTTAAAACTTTTGTACATAATTTGTTAAGCCATTCATCAATATGTCAATAAATACTTCATACTTGTGAAATAATGGTGAAGTTCAAAACTTTTGGTCGGCATACGCTTAAGAGCTTCAAGATTAAAGGAAAATAATAAACAAAAAAACAGTCACGGGCCAAGAAACAGCAAAATCTTAATCGATTTCACCAACTTGGCATGTCTACATTGGGCGTAGTGAATGACTTAAAGTCGAACTGACAATCTTTACAGATTGATAGTCTATAAATGAGTGGAGCTTTGTCAATGTGGACAGCCCCAGTGCTTCATATGCTCCATATCAATGATAGACGCATTCGTAAAGAAGCTTAGGAATAATCTCACCTGCATTATACATTATTTACCTCGTCATTTCCATCAAATATGCACCAGTTTGTAGATTTTAGTAATTTAGCTATATATTTGAAGTGATAGTTATATACATGTATAAGCACAAATAGCTCAATGTACTATGCTCTTAGGTATTCATTTGCAATCATACGGACAGGCGGACGGACAGTGCATAAGTGAATATACTCCATGATTGAGTATAACACATCAGTACAACAAATTTGACGTGCAATGAATAAACCTAACAACGGACAAGTCGTAATAAACATTAAACTAATTAATCTAAATTTCACTTATACCATTGTTGTTGCTATTGTTATCAGTGCTAGTTATGCATTGTCGACATCGAAGCCAAGAGAAAACATTTAAATTGGACGTTGCGAAAGCTTCAATACTCTAGCAAACCTTTAACATAGATTCGATGTCTTGTATCTTGACGTAACAGTTCTTCTTTTCATTTCAAATATCAAATAAAAACAGCAATTAAAAAAAAATGTTCTTCTAATGCAAACAAGCTCAAGGTATTTAAGAATTTAAAAGCATACAAAAAGCGATTGATGTGGTTTAGATGTAGCATTACTTTTTCGTTTCAATCAGCAGCACACAATGCAACTATTTTTAAGCAAAACCCCATTAAGTAAATATTCAACGGGCTATACTCTAGAGGATCTTAGTTCAATTTTGAACATGAAACCATGGAATAAAAAAATGTAATTTAAAATTTAAAATGGTAACAGAAGATTCTCTCAATTAGTCTGTTCAAAGGAACATAATAAATTTTCGAAAATCATAGATGAAATATTTTTTTTTGAAATTTTAACATCAATTATCTCAAGCTTGACTAAAAATAATTTTAAGATCAGTTGCTTAAAAATAAAATAAGGTCGATGTCATTCTCTGATGCTGTAGAAGTCTATTAACTGTCGAGTTCTAGTAAAATAGTTTAAAAATAAATATTTAATGACAGCGCCCATTCACTGGGTAAACAAAAGTAGATTGCACATGGCAATTGCTTATAAATAGTCATGCAGCACTGGCCTTTTACTGGCTGCGCAACATTGTTGCATCAACATGCACATACGAACTAAACATCTACTATAGAAATACGCAAATGGTTTTTATGAATGAAATACAAACAACTGGCTAAGCAGTGACCGAGCCTGGCAACATGGCGCATGCGCAATTTAAATTTCCATATGACTTTGGCGGCAGTCGAAAAAACTAGAGAAACTCGGCTGGCGGCGCAGTTGGCTGTCAGCGTTCAACGTGGTCGTGCCCAACGTGGACCTGCCTCAGCCGTACCGCTCGAGTGAATACATATTGTTGCAGGTACATCGCCCGGTGACGATGTGTGTTTAAAAATATCACTTGCATTCTGGTGAGCAAGATGCCAACATACAGCCAGTGAAAGTGAGAAAGAGAGAGTGAGAAAGTGTGAGAGAGAGAGCTGTGTTTAAATCAGTGAAAGAGCGACAGTGCGAAAGAGAGATAAAGTGCTGATATTCTTGTTTATAATGAAGAGAAAACAAATTAATTTAAAAAAATACTCAATATTTCAAATCGTTTACAGATGCAACCAAACAAGTCTTTAAAGTGCAGCCGTTAAATTCAAAATGTGCAAAATGAAGTGTGAAAAGAAATTTATTAAAATTGTGTTGGCTACTAATTAACAGCTGCTAACATATATATAAATATATATATTTATATATATATATATATATATATATATTTATATATATATATATTTATGTATATATATATATAGAATCAAGTAAATAAAATACTTATAAAAAACAACAAGTGAAAAAGAAAAAGTCTGCGAGCATCACATAAATTTATAAATAAATAAAATTAATATACATTTATATATATTATTAGAGAGAGAGTGAGAGAGCAAGAAGCGAAAAATCATAAAAAGAAAACGAAATATTTAAGACGTGAAAACATATCAAGAAATTAGCCATTTGAAACGTAACCAGATTATGCGCATAAAAAACCGAAATTTTAATGTCGCTTGTAATATGCCGTCATGAATGTATGGTCGGTAATTAGCTTCAAGTGATGCCATCCATGCCTTGGCATTGATGGGTCACATTTTTATATGAAATATGCAAACGAGTCAACGCGCCGTCGCCTGGGAATTCGAATCACTTCGTTTCAGTTTGCAAGCAAAAAAATGCAGGAACACACGGACACGGGATACAGACAACTGATTCACATAAGCAGAGGCACAGTTTTCTGCATTATAAATTAAATTCCCCAAGGTAACTTCATTTATCTTAATAAGCTCATTAACACGAGACAGAATTTTGCAGTTGCAGTTGCTGCATTCGACTGCTTAATACTTGTTCATAATTAAATATATAGCTTAATGCGCCTTATGTATACTATAGATACAGTACTATATACCTTAAGTATATAATTTAATTTAAATTCTAATGAATTGAGTTTTGAGTGACACAAACCAATATTTCATAATCCACTTTATTTGATCCTACTATACATCACTTATGTATGAAAGCTACCCACTTTTCGTTATAAATTCATTCTATTGCATTCCCAACTAAACTTGAATATCAATGATTGCCATCAAGCTTTGGAATATATACTGGAGTTTAGTCGTGAGAAACAGTTCGGTGTAACCCACCTCGAGACTGCTAGCTCTTCAACATCTTTCTTTATACCTCTCCTATGTCATCTATATCATCACTTGAAACATTTACAAGATAGCGTTGGGCTTCTTTATCTGAAATACAAATGCAAAGATGAACTTCTAATACGTCATTGGCTTTGTGTAGTTTCATACATACGTAAAGTAAATGAACAGCACTGTTTAAAAGGCTTAGAATGCACAATAATAAAATAAATAGTGAAAAAATGAATTTGTCTTCCTTGATCAATAACTAAGTGTAAAACAAAACAGCATTAGATTGAACCTCTATCCATGTTCTACAGTCTAACCGTAAGAGCTCTTTGTATTGCTCTTCTATAGTAAGTGTTCAATTTGGCTTCATTTTTATGCTCAACAATGTAAGAAGAAAAATAGTGATTAAAAATATATTGTTACAAAATAACGATTCTTTGTAGCTTAAGGTACAAGTTTTAATTTAAGTTTAATTAGAAAACTTCAGCAGTGACCAAAAAATTTGCAAGAAAATTTGATCAAAATAATATCACTTTCCCTAAGAGCATATAAAGAATTTCATACCTCTTTAAAAACAGCTCTCTATTTCATTTTTAAAATACATTTTTTAGTCTTAAATATTGGATATCTAATTTGCAAATTTTTCTTCGAACATCCGACGGAACTAAGTATCTTTTCTCACATATTTACATAAATCAACTAGATGTAGTTACCTTAATTGCTTTAGCCCAAATACTATTTCTACTCTCAAACCAATTAATATTATTCAATCGAGAATAGTATATGGTAAACAAATGTGAATGAATCTTTTAGGCTTGTGAAATTTGTGCAAATTGAAAATTAAGTAAACATAAACATTTGCAGACACACATCCACTTGCACGTTATTCACACTCACTTCTAGGTGAGGAAATAAATATTTTCTTTGAAAATATATGCAATATAGCTGAGCTGCACAGGACGGCTGTGGCACTCGTCCTAAGCCCCGATGTACCACATATAGCCTTGATGCTGAGTGAGCGCTGCATTGCGATTCGTGTGGATGGGCACTTAATGTCGAGATGATTAAGTATACACCGCATATCACGATGCAGCAGTCATTTACATAAAAGCCGGCAACATCATTTCAAAAATAACTGCGCCGCCCATTATGGCTCGCGCAAATACATTTGCTCGGCTCCAGCAGACACCCACATGCTTGTAGGCTGGCAGACAAAGAGCATAAAAGGATAATAGACGCACCCAGGCATAAATCAGCTGCTTTATGTACGCGACCATCACTGTGGGAATGCTGACTGTCGAGTGTCGGGCACCTGCTCATTGAGTAATCAAATTGCGCGAATTCGCACAATTATCCTTACAAATGTGCGCTCTGATCCCTGATCCTTTGCATGTCCTCATTAAAAAGCAGACAACCAAAATATGTAAATTGAAGAATTACTTGAACCAAGCATGGGCCAAATGGCATGCTCTTGCAAATTTTAATAGCATTCATTTTACAATTTGGCTGCTTGCTTCGCCTTCGCTGAGAAAAAGCCTTGAAACTGTCAACTAAAAATATATCGCAAGAATTTGGTTCTCCCTCTCGCGAGTGTTGGTCTTCTTTTGAAAAGCGAGCGCCGAAATATAATAATAATTATATTATCTGCTGTTTTCGTTTTGTGGTTCAGCATGCTTATACTCGATGCTCAGACTCGTGTCAGAGCATAGCTCTCGGTATATTTTATATGCTGTGCCGCATGCTCCTAACATGCTATAAATTCTATACTTACCCATATACCATATATCCATACACCCATATAGCACATGCATTCATAAATTTCTCAACTATATTAGATACAGCGCGCCTCAGTCGACAACAATGCCTCCAAAATCGCTGATAAGTAAATTCTACATGTGTCGCATGTGGCGCAGACACAATAGAATTAGACGGAGACGATGTCCCCTAGTTAGTGGCGTTCGCATCATTTACAGCTGTCCAACGAGCCGTATAAATTAATATACTTAAGCAGTTAATTAAATGAATTTAAGAAAAATGCCTAAGAAAAAACCAACGGAATGGTAATTCTCGCCACACACGCAGAGACGGCGATTAAAAGGGAAATTGTTTTTGCTTTTCTGCTCGGCTTAAAGAGATTTCACAAGGTTACAAAGACATAATAAAGTAATCAAACGTCAAATAACAAACAATTATTGACATTTCTTTTAATATATAAACTTTATTATTTCTTATTATAATTTGAGTGTACAACAAATTATTGTGTTCCAGTCGGAACTAAGTGCCTGTCTTTGGCTTTTATTTTAAATATTCCTGCTACCATCAAGACCCAACTATACACGAAAACGCCCACTCACATAAATGATATGCTGCTAATCAAATTGTTAGGGTATGAATGTGATATTGACCAATTCACAACATGCGATATAGAAATATTGATAATGTATATAATGTATCTTCTTTTGTCTTCTTCCATATAATTTAGGGCACACATTATGCGCTTAAATTAAATTTTCTATGGGTTCCTATAGCAATTGTAATGAGCTGTTACGAGCTGAGTTTCTGTCGAAATAAATAAATTTTAAGCCACCAAATATTCTAAATATTATTTAAAAATTTTTTTAATTTATTTGCTGTTTAAAACTAAATTAAATTATACACTGTACAACTTTGTGCTTAGCATTCGCTCTAATAAATACATGCAAACAGTTGAATTTCTGTAATTACAAATAAAAATAAACTAAACAAAACGTCCGATGAAACCAAACAACCGCGATGTTGTTTACCAGTTGACACAGAGAACAAAAAGTAGCCAAACCATATATTAGAGCACATGCCAAAAGTTTTACGCCCACGCTAACGCCGTGAAGAGATACAGAGACAAAAAGAGCGCGCGAGAGAGACAGATGGAGAGCGTGGGCAAGAGTGAGAGTGAGAAAGTAGGAGAATAGAAGAAGCAAAGGGCAAGCAGTAGGTGGGGACAATGGCATCGAAATGAAATGCAGACTAGCAGTCGCCTCGTTAGCCAGCCAGAACTATGCAATATGCACATAGTTTTGGTCGCTTCTCTGCACAACAGTAATTAAAATCCTTGCAGGACACGATTCCAGTTGGAATGCCACATGCAAATATCTTGCTAAACAATTAAGCTCAGTGTCATTTAAATGGAACTGTTCCCGCTGATGCTGCAAAGTTCATGATACCCCACTGCATGTTTAACTATGTCCATTCATATGTGTGCAATGGGGCGAGCATACTTCGAACGTGTCTGATACCATAATACATTTTATCGCAATCAAGGTCATATTACCAGTTACTCATTTATAAGCTGCTTTGTTAATTTACACTGAATTCCTGAATAATGGGGTTTAATTGCTTTGACATTTGAATGTAATTAGAAAATGAAAGCGGTGTCTGAAGCAAATTGTGTATATATATTTGAAAGGCTTTAAGGCCTCTGGGAAATATCAAAATAAGAGTTTATTCGTATTCGGTGTCTGAAGCAAATGGTGGACATATATTTGGAAGGCATTAATATTAAAAATAATTTGGGTAAAAAACTTGAAAGCCTCTGCGAAATATCAAAATAAGATTTTATTCGTAGTTTGAGCTGTTCTTAGAACATAAAATAAAATTATTTTTACAAATTTTGTGAGTGTACTAATGCATTATTAATGAACTGTTGAAGAAGCTATTTCCATCGTAAAGCGAGTTATGTCTGAAAGTGCGTATCTACTCGTAATCAAAGTCGAGTTAATACAGGCATGACTGCGTTACAAAGCAATTCTCAAAATTGTAATATTGAAACTTTCGCAAGGGTAGATCACTGCTTCTGAGAATAGCAACTAAGTGTTAATTAATTGAATCTTATATCTTTAATAATTCATTTAATTTTCTTACAAGCTTTAAGCACTATGGCAAATACAAATATTTCAAGTATTGTTATTTATAAAAAAACTTAAAATTTAATTCTTTGGGCAAAGAGTCAGGCAAAGTTCTTAAATACTTAAGAATACTTTGCATAACTTTAACAAAAATAATAATAAAAAATGAAATGTTGTCTGTCACCCTTTTGACTGGGCAGGGCAACGTTGAGCCAATTGGTTGGTTAAGTGGCTCGTGGGCTGTGGTCCGTTAACGATGTCAAAGGCAATATGCGAGTGGGGTCACGTGCACGTCGAGCAAGGTCGAACAGCAAGTGGCGCAAAGGGTTCCAAGCATTAAAACAAATTGACATTCTAATTGCCGGACTCGAACACCAGTCCGAGCTGCGAACTGTAGTAATTGCAACTGTCCAATTTGAACATCTAATTGTTATAATCGCCTTTTGCGGCAAAAATGGAGCTCAGCCTGAATAAAGCAGCGCTGATTCCCGTCGCACAATGGAACGTTCAATAGCACCTGCTCTTCACGAACATGCCTGCCATATGCGACGGCCATCTGCCACCTGCCACATGCCACCAACAGATGCAAATCGTTGGGCATTTAACATGCCACGAGACAACAGTTTCAGTTACAGTTACTACAAAAAGTCGACCACAGACGATTTACTGCAGCTGCTGAGAGATAACAAATGCCAAATGCAAAACACGCATACGTTATGTTCTACAAGCCCCTCGTTAGCGTTGTGGTTGCGCTGCGCTCGGAACCACAGCTACAGCCACCACAGCTACAAAGACAACATTTGCGCGAGTTGTTTTTTTTTTTTGTTTTGCCTCTTTTTCCAGCGGCCACAAATCATGCTGCGAACTCGGCATTAAGCTAAGAGCTTCCATGTGTTAAATTGATTTGATTATGCGATAGGCGCGCGCTCTACTTAGCAGCCAATATATATATTATCTATACCTTGTATTCGGTAATATGTGAGCTGAGCAAACAGTGCTAGAGACTGTGACAGATATTGAACCAAACATTTAGTGTAAACAGATTTATAAATATTAATTGAAGACAAGTTAGATTTACGTTTATTCATTTTGAATTGAATAATTTATGGTTGAGCAAATTTAATTTATGTGCGCCTAATTATTTTGTAAGCTTTTGCTCTTTGCATTTTAAGCAAAGGAAATATGAAGCACAAATGTGTTAAGCCTAAGGCTTAAATTTCATTAAGTGCAGGTCATCTGCAAGTCGTTTATTCTTGACAGCTGTAATTTATATGTTTTATTATTATTTGCGCGTACTTTGGCTGATTTGTTGGCCTAATTGATGGGTTGGCGTGGTGTAAGGTAGAGGCCAAGGCATTCCCTTACATAGGTGAGCGCGTGTGCAATTCAGGCACTTTAACACACATAAAAATGTGGCATGCTATATTTTTTAACGCGCATCTTTTTTTTCAATACTTCTTGTCACAAACGATGCCTGAAGCTACAAAAAAATTGAAAAGGGAAGGTTAGCAATTGTCTTTCTTTGTAGAAAAATATATATATTTATTTCGCCAAGTCGAAAACGTTTTTTTATACATTCCATTGACACTTGAAATTTAATGTCTGCTTAATATACTTACATAGTTTATGGTATTGTAAAACAAATTAATGTTGCAGCTTAATTACAAACAATCTTTTAAAGAGCCCAAATGTATTATTTAAAATGCTTATAAAAGGTTTTAAACGTGCTGAGTACTGTCCTGCCTTGACCAATCACAGTAATTTGATAAGACATTAAAAATTTAAAGAGCAAAAAATTATTTTTGGTTTTTCTTTTTTTTTCTGAACGTATTACTTCTTCCTCCCGAAACCAAACACTTTATAAAATGCGAATTTCCTAGAAATATTCTTTTAAAACAGACTTAGCAAAAGCGTGGCATAAGCATGAGGTAGAGGCAAGGGAATCGCTAATTTAACGTATATCTTAGTAACAGAAAAGTTTTAAAATAGTTAGGAAATTACTTAAGTTAGCACTTCTTAAAGCCATAATGGTTTCTTTTAACTTATTATTTCTTTTAACTTATTATTTGGGGTATGTAGCATGATTGGGTTGTGTTAGGTGCAGTTTCGAGCTCAGCATCAAACATTAAATTCAGTAGGAGATTCATGGTTATAAAATCTTGTGGCTGTATATAATTAAATAAAAATTGTTTAAGTTAGTTAACTTAAAAAAAAATAATATGTTTTATTTATATAATATGTATAATTATTATTATTGTTTTTATTTGTATTATTTTATTAAATATTCTTTTATTTTTAATATGTGTAAATTAACTATATTTTCCTTCAAAACAACATTAAATATTTTTTAGCCTAGATTAAAGCTAACTATTGCTTGTACCGAAAAACTCAATCAATATATTTATAAATTACTTTGGTACAACTGTATTTCCTGCACCAATTGCTGAATAAATAAGTAAAAGTTAAGGCATAAAGTTTGTTCGTGAATTGAACGATACAAAATCACCTGACCAAACAAAAAGTCTTGTACTAAAAGTCCTTCCACTTTTCATTTCCTCTCTTTCAGCTTAAAGTGTCAACGACGCGAGGCAACAACAACAACAACAACAACAACAACTGCTGGACTATTAAAAGCTCTGCGCTCAGTGTGAACCATAAGCGGAAAGACAAGCAAAGAGCTTTCAACCGTACTCTAAGTCACCCCCACAAAATACCGCGTGTGTGTGTGTGTGTTCCAGTGAGTGTGCACAGGTATGACCCTGCAACAGTAACAACTACAGCGGTCATCCAATTTATGTTGCGGCCAAAGTTGTTGCTGGCTAAAAACTTAAATGCCAGGACCAGTTGCCAGCTAGCCTCAAATAGATCACAAATAAAACATTTTCGATGAGCACAGCAGCGGAGCAGCTGCTGCTGCGCCTGCAACAGCCAGCGTCAGGTGTAATGCCCCCTTCTGCATCCGGGGACTACGACTGGGCGCCCATCAGTGACGACCAGTTTCTGGCCAGTGCAACGGGCCAACGCATTGAGGAGACGGCGCGCTACGATCTAACGGATACAGTGGGCAGTACGTTGGCACCGGTGATCTTGAATGCGAGTCAGCGTTTACTTAACAGCAGCTATGAGACGTACAACGAGAGCGCGGAGCCAGATTGGACCCGCATATGTGAGCTGGTTTACAATCCGCAGCTGGAGAATAATTGCATCGAGTTTTGGGTATGCGGCGTCATACTCAACATTGTTGGCGTCCTGGGCATACTGGGCAATGTGATATCGATGATAATTCTATCCCGTCCACAGATGCGCTCCAGCATTAACTATTTGCTGACAGGCTTGGCGCGCTGTGACACGGTGCTAATTATTAGCTCCATGCTGCTGTTTGGCATACCCTCCATATATCCCTACACGGGCCACTTTTTCGGCTACTACAACTTTGTGTATCCGTTCATATCGCCGGCGATGTTTCCCATTGGCATGATTGCCCAGACGGCTAGCATCTATATGACCTTTACCGTCACCCTGGAGCGCTATGTGGCCGTATGTCATCCATTGCGGGCTCGTGCTCTCTGCACCTATGGACGTGCCAAGATCTACTTTATAGTGTGTGTCTGCTTTGCTCTCGCCTACAATATGCCGCGGTTTTGGGAAGTGCTGAATGTTAGCTATCAGCTGCCCAATACAACAATTGTGCTACACTGCGTAAGGCCGTCGGCACTCAGGCGAAACACGACCTATATAAATATATACATACACTGGTGCTACCTTATTGTGAACAATATAATACCTTTTCTCACGCTGGCCATACTCAATTGCCTGATCTACATGCAGGTGAAGCGAGCGAATCGGGAACGCCAGCGACTCTCCAGGTCGGAGAAGCGTGAGATTGGCCTGGCCACGATGCTGTTGTGTGTAGTAATTGTATTCTTTATGCTCAACTTCCTACCGCTGGTGCTGAACATCTCGGAGGCATTCTATAGCGTCGTCGATCACAAGCTGACAAAAGTCTCCAACCTCCTGATTACGATCAACAGCAGTGTCAACTTTCTCATTTACATCATATTCGGCGAGAAGTTCAAGCGCATTTTTTTACTCATTTTTTTCAAGCGGCGCCTGAGTCGTGACCAGCCGGATCTTATACATTACGAGAGCTCAATTTCGAACAACGGCGACGGCACCATGAACCATCGCTCATCCGGCCGCTTCTCACGACACGGCACGCAGCGCAGCACCACGACAACCTACCTAGTCACCACCGGAGGCAGTAGCTCACTGAACAGCGTACGGCTCACCCAAGTCTCCGGGTCGCCCGGCCTCCTCCAGATCAAACGGAACCGAGCACCATCGCCCGGTCCAGTCGTCTATTATCCAGGTCCACGCGAACTGCAACGCTCCGTCTCCACCACGAACTCGACGACAAATAATAATACGGCCTTGGGCTACGACTGGACCGTTGATGGCAAGAAGCTTGGCCACGTATCCTCGGTCTTTTAAACTATACATAGTAGTGTACATAATGTAGATGCCAGTCTCCTAGTCATTTATATGAATATATATATATAAACTTACTATATATAAACTAAGCGCGCCAAGCGTCGCGTTCTTTTGTGATAAGCGTTATGTGTTTCTATATTCTTCTCCGTACTCCAAGTTCTTTAAGACACCACAAAATTAAAAGTACAGCAAAAATTTGAAAAACACGACAAAAATACTTCGAACAGTTCAGAAATCGTTAGCCAACATTTATTTCTTTCACTTCATTGGGTCGAATATATGTTCGTAGCAGTTCTATAAAAGAAAGACGGGCTTCAGGTGGACACATTTAGACTAGTCTGAACATGAGTAAGTAGTTGGCGACTCAATAGGTGTACGAATAACATATAAGATGTGGGGATATCGACTACTTAATAATCGTTCACAGTCCAGCAACAACTAAAGACAGTCTAACAAGCAAATCTACTACAAATTTTAATGATTATAAGAGGCTTTATTCAGATAAGCAGTCCCATCTATCTCTAGAGAGCTTAGAAGTCTTTTCACAATTTAATAATGCGGACACCTCTGTAAGTATTGTATGACAGAACCGGCAAGAGTACGACCTATTTTCTATACATCAAAATATTTACTGAGTTTGGATGATGACAACAAATTGTGTATCACACAACAGAAATATAAATATTTAATTAAAACAGTTTTTTTTAACAACATTCTTTTCGCATATTAAAAATTTGTTTATGAAATGAGTTCATAATTAGAGCAAACAAGTTGGAATGCTGCATTCAAGAGGGAGACTGCAGTAACTAAAGTCAACCGACTTTAGTAAATAAATAGAGCAGGTCGTGAACGAGTTTAAATATACAAATATATATCCATATATATCTCAAAAGCAATAACTGTGTAATATATGTATATATAAAGAGGTATAGTTTGAGTAGTGACAAACGTCCATCTTCTAACAGTTACGTCCTCGATATGTGATACCATCCCAAATCATTATATTAACATTTCGCATAGCCCTCTGATATATATTTAGAATACTTATTCGGACTTAAGCTCTCTGCCAACATTTTGGATTGATTAGTTGAGCTCAAACACGCTCAAGTGTCAAACAAGTTTTTGCTGTACTTTAATGAAACCAAACTGCACACATAATTAATCCTTTCAGTTTTTATTTTGGTAACGCTTTCAATTCAGCCAAATCAATTGAATTAAGTTCAATTTTGCAGCAAATTAAGCTGTGAAACTTTTTTTTACACCCACTCTATAGATTAATGTTCAAGAGGAAGACCATAACACTGAGCTGACCCCAGCCTCTTGGCCAGAAAAACTTTTATTTATTAGGACCAAGTTTTGCTTTTAATTAAATATACTTTCCAATGCATTTTTCAGCGAAACTTGATAAATGATTTTTTTAGTTCCTTTTTATTTTTCTTCATTTTTCTTTTTTATTTTTTATTGTGGTTGGTTAGCCTGAAATTATAGAAAAGTTTTCATTTTGTTATCGATAGCAGCTCATATATTTTTTTAAGGGAACGGACTTTTAGGCCGACATTGTAATATGTCAAGTTGTCGACAAAGTTAACTCAAAGTTCGGCAGTAAATTCGATTACAGTTTTTCTTTATTACTTTTATCTTCTCTCATTTCGAATGGAAACTCAAAGTAGCTCAATTTTACACAGACACTTAAATAAAACAAAGCACACACTTTGCTATGCTAAAAGACATTTTCAGGTGTTCACAAATAGAATTTATTCAACTTACCTCCCAACAACAAAAACAAAACAACGTTGCTTTTGTATAAATAGTTAATTAACTGATTCTGTAAATATTTCCTATATGATACTTGATATGATAATTATATAGTCAATGCGAAGCATATATTATGTATAAAATATAAAGAGATTGCAGTTTAAAAATTACTATTAAATATAGCTTTAGTTTAGTTTTAATTAAACATAAATTTAAAACTTAAGTTCAATATTTGCTCCTGAGATTCAATAAAATGATACTTCAATAATTGTGGAAATTCAACAAGAATTTTAGTTTAGTTTATTTTCATTCCAAGGAATTGCATGTGAACACGTAATAGTGTACGATTAATACGATTGCAATTGTCTATGTGTATTTCTAATGGCCACTTAACATTCAATTTATAAGACGTGCCCATAAAGGGCGTGGCCAAAAGCAGCAGCCTCCATGATACCAGGTCTAAGCGAATCTTGTGGGTGGCACTTAGCACAGAGCTTTGTGCATTTGGCTATGCTAAGCACGTGGCGAGAGCTCAGAGTTTATGTCGCCGACACGCCAGGACACAAAGGAATATCCTTACAATAATCACAAGAGATGAAGTAATTTTTAAGCTCACTGAACTAGAAAATACCCTACAGCTTGCTAAGATACATATAGCTCATAGTAGGATAGCTGTTGCATAAATCAAAACTAAGTAAAAATGAAAGTAAAAGCAAATACCCTTTAACTACATTTTTTATCATAGCTGAAAGAATAAAAAGAAACATAATAATTATGGGACGTAGAAAAAACAATATCTGTAAACATGGCCAACATGAATAAACCAGAAATAGTCAAAAAAATATATAGTATTAGTATAGAAGTAGGCAAGCCTCGACGTCAGTCGAGATACGCAATAAAATCAAGTATTTGGAATTTTGAGCTAGAAAATACCCTGTAGCTCGTCTAACTAACATATATATATATTAGCAAGTGTGAGTTGTTTCTGCGCACACACTTTTGTGTTCCAGCAGGTACTTTGAGCTAGGGGATAATCGTGCGGTTATTAGCAGCAGCAATGTGAATCAGAATGAATGCACAACTAATTAAAATCGGTCAATTTATGCGTACGCCTGGTATACTTTACTGGATTTCCCTCTAACTACAGCTAAGCAATTTGGCCGCGTCCATAAATGTGCCATGAAAATGTTGCTACAGATTGAAAATGTTTGTCCTGGGAGCAGCAAACACGTTTCGCTTTCGCCTTTGTTGAAACTTTATTATGCCTGCCAAAGTCGAGTGTTGCGTGGCTTTGTGATAAAGACAATAAATCAGTTTGGATAATGTCAACAGTGGGCTGAGCGAGCACAGAAAAAAGCAGACAAACCCCAGAGTAGAGTTATTTTTAGTGCTGATGACTTTGAATTTTGTCAACGAATTCCTAACAGTTTGATGTGTTTTTAATGCTATGAGGATTATCTGGCGCTGTGTTGAGCAGATGATGATGAGTTTATGTCGCCTTTGTTGTTGCCCTTGCTTTGGGCCATACTCCTTGCCATACTCCTATGCCAGCTATTGACAAACGATATCAGCTTGCACTTTGTCACAAGCTTTGATGCTTCACAAATAGTGTTGACCTCGTCAGGGTGTTGTCAAATTAATTAACTGCCTTTGTCAGTGATGAACACATGGCATCTGCTGCAGAGCTTCAAATTTAATTAATCTTGGCCATTTGGCTCCTCTATGTTCAAGTTGTTAACGGCGCCAAGTTCTTTGCCAACTTTTGCTAAGTTTTCAAAGCATTCTTAAACTACATACAAAGCTTGTCAACGCAATCTCGATTTCCTGACACCCCTGACTCAGAGCTGTGGCCGCAATTGCTCTCCTATCAGTAACCGAGATCTCAACTACCCTGCGGCTGCTCTACTACAGACTCTAAATTTAAGGATAACTGCGTCTGTAGGCACTCCGCAGTTTCGCTCATACAATTAGCTTTAAATGCACGCAATTACATGACGGCCCCATCTCCCAGCCTATTTGTATGGTTGGCTTGCTGTGTGCGGCAGCTAAAGTACCATAGTCGAAATATAAACAAGGCTAAGCAAACAATGACACAATTCCTTATAACATGGCGCGTGGATGCCTAAAAAAACAACAAGCCTAAAAAAACAATTGAAAATGCTGCATATGTGTAAATATTACCCTATTGAAAGAGCGGAAAAAAGTAATGTTGTAGCCGGCCAGCTCAATACACTACTCCCAACCCACTAAATACAATGCCCAAGTTAACCGATAAGTAAGACAATACAATAATGGATATTTGCCATGTATTTTCTTACAATATCAGATCAGCTGCAAAGGGTATTCTAGCACAAATGTTTATTAAGTCTAATCTTTATATATATATGGCCAAGTCATTCTGCTTAACAATAACTATGATGCCAAATCTAATTTCAGTTCATAAGAATACTCAAGCTGTGAAATATACAGGATATAAACGAAAAAAAAAAAAAGACATTCTCCAAGTATACTAATCGCACGTGGCGTCTTTTGCGACAAGAGTGCTAGATATTTTCCAGGCTATATTTTATAATGCCGCTCACAGCTGTCGCCAACAGTGGGCACTGGTCATTGAAGGATTTTATTTCTGTGCACGGCAATAAGCGCTTAGACCCAGGCAGAAAGCCAGACGAGTGGCGGCTTAAGTGGCTGTGTGTGAAATACGAGCAAGAGGTAACGGTAAACTACCACACCATTCCAACACCCCACCACCCATAGGCGACACAATGGCAAGCATTCCATGCCAAGGCGTTCACAATGTGTTTCGATAAGAATTCCATAGCCAGACAAACACTGTGGCCAACACAGTGCAAGCGAGAAGAGAGAAAAGTGAACGCATTTTCATTCTTCAGTTATTGACAAAATCTTTATTGTCCAAATGCCAATTTAAATTTCTGAACTAATGCGGGAAATGAGCGCTTTCAAAACAATACACATTGCATAAATATTTGACCTATCGTTGATCCATTTTTGAATAATGATATGTTAAAGATACTCCAGTATATCATAGAGTCTCGGCAAATAACCATCTGGAACTAAACGCATCTGCCGCTCGCGGCCTCTGTCACGTATCTTTTTCACTTTTTCCAATTCTGTGACACCAGAACCCACAAGAATTGATTGAAATCCATTATAATTTGCGAATTTAATGTCAGTTTCAAGTCTGAGAAAGAATTAACAAATATTTTATTTTTTTTTTTAATTATAGTATCAAAAGGAAAAGCGATAAAAATATTGTCTATATCACACTATCTTAAGCAGGGAAATTGAAAAAAAATTCTAAAATTTCCTGATCAGGCACGACAAACCGAGTTGATTTAGCATTATCCGTGTACTACTATGACTACTATGAAAGCTAGACAAACTTTATTCTATATATTTCCCAGATTATGTTTTTTCTTCGCACATTTCATTTTTTAGCCGAGTAAGGTGGAATAAGTTCAATGTAAAATGCATTTTAAGAGTTGCTTCTATTTATAAATGTTTATAATTTTCTATTTTGCAAATTTTTGTTTATTTATTTTGCAACTATACGAAAAACTTAAAACCACTGTTATTTGTTGGATATCATACTTACGTATCGCCGATCATGAGCGTAGTACCTGGATTGATCACTCCACTCTTGATTGGCTCTCTGACAATCCAAGGGTTTGGCTTGCCTAAAATGAGCGGCTTGCGTGAGGTTACTGTTTTGACTGATGCTATCATGGCAGCGGCGCCGGCAAGAACACGATTATTACCAATGGGATAGGCAGCATCCAAGCAGCTGCCGAGAAACAGAGTTTGAGGTTTTTTCAAATAGCAACAAGCCCTAATAATTTTGCACACGTTGAAAGCGTCATCTCGGCCGACAACAACAGCACCAACGTCAGCATCTACACTCATTTCAGTGGCGAACTCTCTCATGGATTTTTTTATCCTCTCATTTTCGAACTGAAATCCACATATATTCAACTTTTCCAGCTCCTCAATTATGCCGATCCCTCCCACAACGAAAACCTTCTTCTGAAAATTCTTGCTACTCAAATAGTTGCCAACGGCCTTCCCTGAGTTAAGGACATGATTTGGTAGAACATTAAAACCAAAATTGCATGCCTTTTTCCTTATATTTTCGCTAGACAAGCAGGAGTTGTTGCTGACAATGAATATGTTGCGTCCCGAATCTTGAATTCCGTTGAAAGCCTCGACGGAGCCATCAATAGACTCGTCGAAGTGCCACAGCACACCATCAGCATCGCAGATGATAGTCTCAAAGCCGTTCAACCATTGCCGCACCCTTTGTCTGGGTAAGGTAGTGAGGTTAGTGCAAGTGTGCTTAAACATGTTGAGATGGTGAAACTCGATTTTAAATTTATATGAATGAAAATTTTAGTTTTTGAATTAATTATCTTTGAGCACTCGATAGTTAACGAGTAAACGTGCTCAATCTGATACTCATGATGTCATGCTCTGAAGTGCCCTAAGCATCGAAATATTCTATACATAATAACACATAAAACACGTGCCCCTTCCATGTACTTATGTGTGCACTGTACTACTGAACGGTTTTAAATTACATTTTCAGAAAATTATTCACATGCTCCGTTTAAGTTATCGGAAATTAAGAAAGTTAAATTGACTATTTGAAATAACTTTGTGTCTACAAAAACACATCAAACTCAGCTCGTCGACTGTATCAAAATATAAATATATATATTTTATCTGCCTTTTATATATTTTCCAACAGACCGCATAAATCCCTTTTTTAATTAGACTGAAGATGCTTTTCTATATCAATGCAAAGTAAAATTGGCATTGGAAGTTTCTCACCAACACTTTAAAGTAGTAGTTGAATTAGAGCAATATCACTTTATTTACGCTTATTTGAATTCCGATACTTTAACGAAACTATATACACACAATTATTGAATGTGTGTATGTGCACATATTAAATGCATGTAAACGTTGAAATCAACGATTTTTTGATGGTAAAAACTTTAATAAATCCGCAATCGTAGGTATAAAGAGGTCGGGAATCTGTCGGTACATCATTGGATCCTTGGAGTTTAGCGCATCATTGACATCCTCAAGGTTAGTGTTCCCAGAACCCACTAAGAGAGTTTGAAAGCCGCAATTATAACCGAAGAGAATATCTGTGTATAAGCTACAAATAAATAGAAAAAAAACAAGTTTTTTTAAAAAAGAATATTAACACGAAACTCGCTTAGCCGCTTACGTGTCGCCCACCATGAGAGTTCGCTCCGGTTTGATTATGCCCTCACGAAGAAGATGCAAACACATCAATGCATTAGGCTTGCCACAGGTGAATGGCGGACGATTAGCTATCGCTTGCACGGCGGAGACCATGCTGCCAGCGCCAGGGACAACGAGTTCGGGGCTGATGGTAATTACGCGATCCTGGTTGGTAGCCAGAAAAAGAACTTTTGGATTCCTCAAATAACAGCAAGCTTTTGTCAGAGTTATCACATTGAAATGCTGATCAATACCCACAACGACGGCGCCTACATCTGGATCCATAGACATGTTTAAAACTTTATCTCGCAATGAATCACCTTCTATGGGGCTATTGTCCACTGGCACAGATTGAATGCCCACTTCTTTCAACTCATCTGCGATGCCTTTGCCGCCCACGATGAACACCTTCCCGCTGAACTTAAGGTCCTTCAGATAATGTGCCGTTGACCACGCTGACGAAATAATCTCATTCTCGTTCACGATAATGCCCATGTCTTCGGCCTTGGCTAAGATGTTTTTTCGCGACCAACCCGAATGATTAGTGCATATGAAAGCACGTTTGCCCATGGCTCGTAGGGCATTGAATGTCTCCGGGGCTCCTTTGATCGGCTTGTCAAGTTTCCAGAGGACACCATCCGCATCGAAGATCATCGAGTCGTATGTTTTCATCCATTGCTGGATACTGAACTTGTTCAACGCAAGCAACTGACAGACTCCCTTCTTAAATGCCATTTCACAATCTTAAGTAACTTTGTGTAGTGATATTAATGATGAACGCTGTATAAAATTTGTCAATTTGATTGGACTAAAAACATGGATTGCTGCTTGCTAAAAAAGTTCAAAAAATATTTTATTACGCGCACTTTTCAAATTTTAGATAATTGACCTCGTCTTTATTTCCTTTAACCTAAACTATTTAGACACAAGACTAATCAAAAAGCCTAAGCCACCTTGTCACCTAGCAATTTTAAGGATATTGTAATATGAAACTACTGTTTTAAAAATGTTCGATGTGACTGCAGATATATTTTTATCCAATGCATGCAATTAATTATTAATGCCCTTAAAATTGGGTGCCTATCCTAACATTGCAAAATAATTCCGAAATAGTTCAGACCCAAGTAAATATCAGTCCTTTTGTAAATGACGCCTACTTTGACACTCTGAGCAGCATGCGTCAACAAATCTTAACTGGCTTCATTGTCGCTGTCTTAGCATAAATTAAACTTGTAAGGCAATTTATCAGTGAAAAGTAAAGCTTTTAGAAATTTGCAACTTGACTCAACAGAGCGACTTAGCGGCTGTTCGCGCAACTTGAAATTAGTTGACAATGCTCTCCGAGGAGTCACCCAGGCAAGGTCATTGCTGACGCATTTAATTCACTAAACTTTGCACATTTGTTACGAGTGTTTGGGCATTGCAGGCTGCGATGCGGTCCAGTTGCCCGCTGAGCAGTGGCGCAACTTTTAATTGAGCGAAATGAAAATGGTGAACGTCCACTTGAAAAAAGAATAGCAAAATCACCCGGACCAATTCTTCTGTTCTCTGTCTAAATCGCCTTAGCGCCAAAGGCTGTCAAGCTCAGGCGCTCGACACCCGCGGCGCCAATTAAATTGGCATTTGACTTGGGTGTTGCTCTTGCCAGGCTCTCTACTTAGGCATTTCCCAGAGCATGCTCGCACCTTTCGTGAAAACGTGTTTGCTCGCCGGCTATGCAGCCATGGAATTCGAATAAATCTGCAGCAATTTAGCGGATTTTCAGTGCGACCAAATTGTGTCAAATAGCCGACAGCCATTTCCAAAAACCTACAGCCATTTGGAGCGACCTAGCCGCAAATTAACGAACCAAGTTTGAAAGCCTGTTCAAGTGCAAAGCTTTTGGCTAAATAAGCCAAAACAATTTTTTCTCAAACATCAAGAAAGTATGCTATGAAAATCTGAATCATAATTTTACGCTCAGACCCAAACCAATCTGGCAAATGTTATTAAATGTCAGTTTATAGTGCTATTATATTAGTACATATATCTTTTCTGTCAGATTGGCATAGATTTAATATTACTATTTATATTTAATTTTATTTATAATTTATTTTATGCGAAATGCAAATTCATTTACAGAACGCTGAGAAGAATATACATAAATAGTATTTCTTGTATAGATGAGTCGCTTCTAATCTGAATTATATATTACAGAACTTATAGGACTCATAACATACATATGCAGATTATAATTCACGAACTTTAATTAAGGCCTAATGAGGAGTTATTAACAATTCAAATTCACTTTTAATGAGCATTCAGAAGGAACGAAAACCCAAAGAGCTCTTGACAGTTTAACAATAGTTTACGTTATATTATTAGCTAATCTCTATAATCAAAAATGCTATGCTCTAATGGAACATCGTTATTGTACAGAGAATGCCTCATGACCACGCTCAATGTCTGTAACAAATATACAATTCTATCAATAAGTTATGCAAATATGCTATAATCATAAAGCAAAAAAACCGAAATTGTAATCTGTGTAGTGCATCTAAAAAAAGGACGGTCAAATTGAATTTAGCATGAACTGTAACATGAAAGCGAAATGGAATTTATTGATTTCCAGATAAGTAAAACGCTCAAGCAAATGATAAGCCAATATGCGTGTGGAACAAACTTTGTTTAAAGGATTTTCGACTAATTTCTTAAAACAAATCGCTTTTATTTTCCCATGTTCCCTCTTACTGAGCAACTTGCTTATAAAAACAATTTAACGAAAATTCGATGGCAACGACTTAAGTGAAATACGCAAAGTTTCTGAAGCCTATTGTGGAGGAGCTGGCCATGCTTTAGTTGTCACACCCAAACACCCCAAGACAAAGGGCAAAAAGCCAAAAGTTTTTTATTAGGTTTAACAAGAGCAAGCTAATTTCTTTGGCACTTGTGCTAATGTTCTGCGTCTCTAATTAATACCTTGAAACTTGGATGAAATATTACTTTATTTATATGCTAATTATAATTAGTATTACTGGCTTCTATCTCGGCTGGGAGAAGAGTACAATTCTTGTCAAGATACAGTTAAAATTAAACTTGTTCTGCTAAGCCAACTGCCACTTGGCACCTGCCACATCTCTGACGTCAGTTAGAATGGCCTCGCATAAATCATGTATACAGATTCCATCATTTCGTTAGCTGCTTCTTCCATCTGGAAACACACAAATCAAATAGTTTGAGGCTCTTTTGGATTGTTTTGACTGCCAGTCGCTGTGATTGAGGTGCCCATTTAGTCCAGTTTCAATTGTGCCAATCGGATGTTAATAATCTGTCTTGAGTGCTTGTCGTATGGACTGCTGGCATTTACTCAGAATTGGACATTTTCTTGCTATTTTTCGTTTGAAGAAAAATGTTTCCCATTTTTAATACCAAACAAACTATTTTCCGAATCATTTTTTAACATATTTATATAAAATAAACTTTTCCCAAATACGACATAACTGAAGCCAGCCGGGCTGAGCTAGCTCGTTCGTTGAACTCAGTGTAGAAAATGATATTCGATCAGTAAGCCTTCAATTATCAATTTAAAAATATTTGTGTAAGTTCTTGCCTTCGTGTTTCTCACATTTTATATGATTTTTCCACGCACAGGTGCGGTCAATTAATATTATCCATCACCATGGAGTTTATGTATGCATAAAGAGGCCCCATCCTTTCACCAGAATTATTTAGAAGAAAAACTAGCACCACAGTTGAATAAATAACTGCAGCGTACTTATATCAATAAAACCATTAAAGTCGGCTTTTCAAGAATCTTAAGCTAAAAAAGGCACACCATTTTTAGCTAACCGAAAAAAAAGGAAAGTAAGCTACTGCAAAATATCAATAGTACAATGGAATTGTAGGTAAAATGTTTGTAAACGTTACGGAAGAATAAATATTCTATGAATAGCGCCATGCGAGAAATCCTTGAAAAACCACACACACACACACACGCACTTACCTCACTCATATTTCATACGAATTTCACATACGATGAAAATTCATTTTTGGCACTTAAAATGCAAGCAAAATAAATTGAAACCTGATTCCAAGCAAACATGATAGATAACAGAAGAGAAAACTATTAGCGAATTAGAGTTAGAGATATACACTCAACTAGATACCCTAGAGTATAACGGTTAATTTTCAAAAAATTAACAAATTTACTTAATTCAATATAAAAATAATAGGCATACTAGCATTTAAATTAATGTGAAAAATTTTTAACAAATTTACTTAATTCAATATAAAAATAACAGGCATACTAGCATTTAAATTAATGTGAAAAATTTTTAAATTAAACTTGCGATTTTTCTCGGCTTAACCCCATTTAAATCTTTTTTGGTTAATATAAAAAAAGGGACTATATTTAGGGAAATATAGTTTTTCGATGTTCCGCGCCACCTCTAAAAATCTCTTATCTCTATTATATTATATCTATAGGGCACAAATGTTTTACTGATGTCCCACTGTTCGATCGTTTTGTATGTTGGGATGGTCACAAATTATTCCGTAATATATTTAAAAATAAATACCATTGTAGATATTGAAGTGGCAGTCAATACCACGTTCATGCTTGAACAATATAAGAAGTCAGCAGTTAGCCAGTTCTCGATTGTTAAAGCATATAACTTAAGTACAGTATACATAGATTCCTTCCGTTCGTCGTGGATGTTATACAAGAATATTTCTTTCAATTTAAGTCTCTATTATCAGTAGTTTTATATTTAACAGAATTTCATACACACTTAGCCTTATTTTCTGGGCGTATAGGGAATGTCTTCATGTTAGTTAATACCAATTTATACGGCCTTTTTGCTTGACGGTTAAATGAATATTTTTAAAAAATAATATGTGAAATCAGCTATTCTATATAAAATTTTGTTTGACAACAGTGCGACTTCAACACGGATACTTGCAGGGTATACTTAATTCTGAAACCTTCTGAGCAGCCAAAACCCAAGTGAAATATTATAAATCAATTTTCTTTTACTGACAGCTGACCGATTATATCTAATAGCTGTAATTGTAGACTAGACGATATCTTAATCTATGTCAGGGACTTGCTGCTTAAATTTCTCGTAATAATATGAAATATTAACGCACTCGTATTGTATAATTAAAATGCCAACCAACACGCAACGTCAATCATTGTTATTTATAACGAAGTGAAAAGCAAACTTGAAGCCATAATTTCCGCTTATGTGCACTTTGTGCACTGGGTGCAGTCGGCTCCACGGATCTACATTTCCCTGCTCGGATTCGTATCTGTTTACCACATTTAAGCGCACATGTGTTTTTGTTTTTATTTTCAGTTGCTATTGCCATTTGCATTCGTGTCCGGCGGCGACTGGACAAACAAAATGCCGCCTCGTGTCATAAATCATTTTGGCCAAAACCCACAGCGATCGGACGCCAGACTGTGCATTGATTTAAGGGCAAGCCAAATGGTATACCAGGGCCCAGTTACATTTGTTTTTATTTTTTGTTTTGCACTAGCTACAGCCCATTCTGTGTGTAGACTTTAAGCTACCCTATCTAATCAACCGGTGAGCCACATGGCGTATACGTACCGTGTGCTGACCCAGTTAGTTAGCTTCAACCAAGGCCGCTGTTAATAGCAATTTAATAAAGTAAATTGTGCTCCTGTTGCGAAGTTTGTCCGTCTTTTATCAACATCGGCATTCGCATCCGCAACCGCATATCCCCCATCCATCGTTAATCAATTAACTTTGCCGCTTTTTATATGATTACTCGCTTGGCTCCAATGCGAAGCCCCGCCACGCGCAAATATAATTAATGATCAAGTGTCAACAAGAAGCGTTAATAATCTTCAATATCTTATATACTTATTATATATATGTATGTACACGTACATTGCGGCGTATTGAATTTCATTTGGCCAATTCGTAATTGGCAACGCGTGGCAAACTTTTTCCAAGGCAACTACTGATTAGGACGCTCACAAGGAAGAAAAAAAACTGAAAGTAATCGAAACTAGCTTCAATGCAAATGATTAAATGTAGTTCTGGCCGCATGCTCTTTAAAAGGTAATTTAAATGACTACTCGTTATCATCTATTGCCAA